AATTGTTAGAAAAAAAAAAAGAAATAAAGAGAACAAAAATTTGTCGAATTTATATTTATGTATTGAGATGCATATATATATATATATATTTTTTTCTTTTTTTTTTACAATAGAATAAAATTAGATGATATATGAGTTTTGATAAAATAGGACACGAATCGTATTGTTAGAATCTAGCACGTTCGTGCACTTTATTGGTCCAGACTTATGGCAATTGTTTTTTCAGGTCATCTTATGCGTGCACGTTTTTCACCATCTCTATCTCTATTCTTTTTTTCTTTTTTTTTTTTTCTTTTTCTCTCTTTCTGTACGGTTATTATCAGCACGTACTAACGTTCTAATCTAATTTAGGATAGTAAGTAAGTAAGTATCTCGAGGACACACTCTTGCACATAATCATATATATATACATATCTATAGGTTAGTTAGTCATTTTTCTATTCTTCTTATTTCCTTCGAATTTTTTCCTTATTCTTTCACGTTTATACGAGATGAAATTTTATTTTTTCATTTTCACGCGAGCACATATTTTATTTTTTCATTTTAATGATAAATAAAATGAAGTATTAAAATTAATTTATAAAAATAATATATAAAAATATAATCGATAAAAATATTAAGTATAATAATAAATTTCATCTTGCAAATTCACTTATAACTTTTCTTTTCTTTTTATATAAATACCTTTTATAAGATAGAATGATGATTAAATAATTTCAGATAAATATTACAATAAGAAAGAGAAAGAGAGAAAGAGAGAGTAAAACTTGAATCTACAAAAATAAAATCTATATTAACATAAGTTGTACGAGTAGTATGTTAGAAGAATGTCTCTGCCGATGATTACGAAATCTATCTATACCTATACCTACTTTCTTACGTATGTCAAGACTAAAAGACTAGAAAAAGAGAGGTAGGAGAGTTTAGAACGGGAAAAGGAAAAAAGAGGACGCGTTGGTGTAACCCATGGAATCAACTGTTAGAGAGTTCGACGACATGAAACGAAGAGAAGGAACCATGATCCATGGATCACGTACTGCACGACCCGGTTCGATCAGATTTACAGATTGAAATATATACTTACATCGTTTACTGTGTTAGATTTTTTACAGTATGTACTTTTTCTTGCTTGTTTTTTTTATAGAAATACAATAATTTTCAAGGTTAACAATAATCAAAAGTCTCCGTAATAATTCTGCAATTTTAATTCGATCGTTACGACCATTATGATTATTTATAATAAATTATTTTAATCATTATTTCTTCTCAAAGTTAAATAATTTATTTTTTTCTTATTATTCATAAAAATAAATAATTATTTTTAATAACATATATATATATATACACATGCAAATTTAAGTCCCACCTTCTGTGTTTAGAGTAGGTATATATTATATGTTAATTAAATTTAATAAGATAAAAGGATAATGAGAAAATATTAATTAACTGCATGCTAATTATTTTTTTATTGGAGACCGTTATCTATTATATTTTAAGTAGCATACCTTTCCACTACGTCTCCTATGCAAAACACTAAAGTATAATACATATATATAGTATAACGAGAGAGAGAGAGAGAGAGAGATGCATCCTGTGTTTTCTCTATCGAATTATTCTCTTCGATGATGATTATTATTCTATTAATTGGCGATGCGTTAAAAAAAATTCGTTATTTAAATTAGTTACTCGTTAATATTCTATAAAATACATATTTATAATTTTAAACACAGAATTACCTCAATTTCCATTAAGACGATGCAACATCACTAGCGATTCTCTTTTTCTATGTGAAAACAGTGAAGATGTGAACTTATAAAAACAACTTAAAATTACAAATATTTGTGCGAAAGAGTTAACGTAAATATCTGATCTTTAACGAAGAGAGAAAAAGAGAGAGAGAGAGAGAGAAATCGATTTTGACAAGAAAATCAAACACAAATTTAATGGGAAACCGAATAAAAACGAGATTAGAAACGAATATTTTTAAAGTAGAACAATTTAATTGAATTTTCTTCTTTTGTCTCGAGACAAACTGTACTTCCTTGATCGTGCACGAATAATCCTCCGACCTTTGGAGTTCGTTGACTCCAAAGAAGAAGAATCGGACCATAATGGCGTTCACCATGAAACTAACAACAACCAATTATATAACAAGAGTACTAGTATAAATATTATAACGATAATTTTCGGATGAATATCGTTCTTAAACATGTATCGAAAAAATCAAGTGAACTATTATAAATAAAAAATAAAATGTGTGACTGTGTGACTGTGTGTGTGTGTGCAGTGTGTGTAGAGGACTAGCGGGAAATGGAAGAGCTTGTCGATAGAGAGGTGAACTTTCTACTTCGTTTAACGGCTCTTCGTGTGTACGTGATCCCCCAGATAATAAATACGCTTTCCATCTGCCAGCGTGAACGCGTTGTCTTTTCGAGGATAATGGACGGCATTAAAAGTACGATCGAGTTTCGATTCGCCATGAAAAAAAAAAAAAAAAGAAACAGCTTCCGTTCGCTCAATATCCTTTATTTTTGTTGTTGTTGTTATTTTCTGTTTCTTTATCGATGTCCTTGAAACATACCGAACGACATTTTCCTTTGATATCTTTTTTACTTCTAACTATTTTTCATCTCACACACAATTTCGAGATTCTTTATTATTATTATTATTATTATAATTAAAAGAAAATTCTCTTATAATTTTGTTGCCATAATAATTATATACAAATATTTTTAATATTCGTCGAGAGATTATAAACAATAATAAATAATGTCTGTTAAATAAATACTCGTTCTTTTTTATCCATACTTCAATGGCGTCTCTCTCTCTCTCTTTTTCTTTCTAATGCTTGTAACTCAGTTTGATATACCGGGTGTTCAATATGAACTCGCAAATAATGTACATTATTGACCGATCAAATATGGCGATTAACGATCGATCATATCGATCAAATATTTTTTTTCTTCCTTTTTCTCTTTTTATCTCAAATAAAAAATAGTCAAACGGTCGAACGATTTTATTAGACTCGTAAAGTGGCTCGTAAAGAAGCTCGTTTCTTCAGATAAAACCGACACCTAACGTTTTCTCTACGTGCTACAGGAAGGTACGATATTCATGCGTAGAACATGCTCGTTTCGCTAGATCCTAGATCGTTGCTCGTACCGAGTTACCTACCTTTGCAATGCTGACTACCATGACTACGACTACGATGACTACGATGACTACTACTACGACGATGCGTAAAACGTCTCTGCTACTATCGCAATAGTATGTAATATATATTCGTTGCGTAAGCATGATCGCTAATGCGATGCTATGCAATGAGTAACCTTGAGGAACGAGTCATAAAAACGACCAATGGTATGCTTCCTACGATACGATGACGACATAAATGCACCGAACATTCTATTTTATTGGACAATTTTTTTTACCTAACTATTATATATTTAAAATCGTTAGAGATCATTCTAATTGCAATTACAAATTATAATTAGATATATTTTTGATAGACAAATTTTTTCATCATTTTTCTAAGATTTTCATTTGATATAAATACGATATAAAGTTTATATATAATTTTGATCTATATATTACGTGACCCAGACCATGAACTTTGCATTGCATCGAACGAATGCACCGAAACTTCTGTCAGTTAAATAAAACTTTCTAAGTTTTCACGCTTTTAGCATAAAATATATATATTTTTAATATCAAAATAATCATTATTTTTTTCGCATAAACGATGAATGATTAAATCGATTGACCAATCTGCTTCTTTTTTTTTTTTATAACCGTTGATTATTAAAAGAATGTTCTTTTCAAAAAGTTAATTTGGAAACAGGTGTCCAAATCAAACAGACGAAACTTCTCTCCGACGAGATAAGGGGGAATTTCTGAAAAATTCTTTTCAATCTACGCTATCAGAATACAAAACGAATTTTATGTTAGTCCTACGTGTTGGTTTCACAAAACCGAATTTCCATTTGCATACTATGGTAATTTCGATCATCGTTTGGAAGAGACACAAAGGAAATTCCATCGTGCGAATATGGGGAGGTGTACTGATGGATCGGAAACGCGAGTAGAAGGGGGAGGAAAAAAGAAAAAGAGAGAGACAGAGAGAGAGAGAGAGAGAGAGAGAGTTGATATCGCTGACGCGAGAAAATATTTAAGTATGTTAAATAGTGACGAGATGACTAACACGTTAATAAGGTCAGCAAAGAAATCATTTTAATTATCGACACGAACGACCGCGAGCAACCTTCGAATATTTTTTATTCGGTTTGATGATCTCTATATATATATATATATATATTTCTTTTTTCTTTTCGCGCATCCATTTTATGTATAGTTTCGTTATTACTTACATAAGAGTATTTATGTAAAAGATCGTCTCTCTCTACTCTCGCTAATTTATCTTACTCTCAACACGTCAGCTCGATTTCTTTTTGCGTTATTTTTTTTTTCTTGACTAATTCAACAGAATTTATTATTTTTCCTCAAACTGTGTGTTTTCCTCTATTTGTATTTATCTGAAATAAAACAAGCAATACAGAAACAAAATAATACGATGGAAAAGTTTTCCATCTTATGATAAATTAATAATAATAATTAAATATATATATACAATGCTGTGCATCGATATTATTAATAATTCTTCTGACATATGATCGAAGTTGAACAATATTATCGATTGTGTATATATTATGTCGTAAATAAAAAATGTATTAATTGTTTTAAAATTCAATTATTTAAACTATGCTATTCAAAAAGTCTGGAATCGTGTTACTATTTTTATATGTGTGCTTTAATTATTAATACAAAATTATTCAGAAGATATAACCAGAAACTATATACGTATAATATGTAAAGTAATTATTTATTAGTAATATTAAATGTGCATTCGCGCGATATCCCATAAAAATGATTTCAGAAATAGGTTTCAATCATAAAATGCATGTGATCAATTTAGATGTTTATATTTCAGTTGGGTTTTATATTCTGTTCATTTGATTTTCTTATTATTATGCTTGTAAAACAGTTTTTCAATAATTCTTATCAATAACATATTATTGCACGTTTCGTGTCGCATTTTAAAACCCGCCAATCAAATAACGTGCTCTCTCTCTCTCTCTCTCGAAAAACCTTTTACTTTTCGTCGAGTTTAACAATTTTCCTGTATCCTACTCCTTTCAAAAGTAATCGCATGTCAAAAAACGGGAACTCGATTCTTGAAAAAATCAAATATCAAATAAGATCAGTATATAAACATATTAAAAACGGTAAAAAAGAAAAAGAAAAAAAAAAAAAAGAAGAAATTATTTCTGAAGAGTTTGTGCGACGAAGGATGCGCGAGATATGCAAGGAATATGACATGGCCAGTAACTATGTTCGGCAGCGATGCAAATCCGATGTGAAGGAGAAAAAAAGGGAACAAGACAAGAAAAAGAAGTATAAAGAAACTCTGAACATATCTATATATATATATATATATAGAGAAAGAGAGAGAGAGAGAGAGAGAGAGAAATAAAGAGTCGGTGAATGAGGAAAACGTTGTACGTAAAGATAGAGAGAGAGAGAGAGAAAGAGCTATTGAATAAAATAAAAGTTATAAGTAAGAGAAAGAAAAAGAAAGAGAGAGAGAGAGAAGAGAACAATAGTAAATTTATAAGAGAAAGAAAGAGATAGAAATATATAGGAGCGAAAGGAGTGTCCATAAGTGCGAGCGTAAGTGTAGTACGCGAACGAAGGAGTAAGAGAGAGAGAGAGAGAGAGAGAGAAAGATAGAAGGAGAAAGAACGCAAAGGAAAAGGGTGGGGGAAGCATTCGAAACGGCTCGTTCGCGGAGGTAAGCGCAGTATGCCGCGCAACGCGCAGGCTCGCGTACGCGTATCCTCTCTTTTGTTTCATTCCTTTGGATTTAGTGAAAAATCCTCGTGTGATATACGCAGGTACAAACACGAAGAGTTTTAAAAATATAGGGAAAGGGAAAAGGAAAAAGGGCGAGTAAGAAGTTCGTAACTTGTTCGGATATAATTCGGCTTTTTCCGCTTATAAACGAGAAATCCTCCTCGACCGATGTAATACTTGCCAAAGGATCGACTCTAGTGGATTATTCGACTGAAAAATGTTTCAATAAAACTCGAATATCACAATAGTAGGTCTGGTGATATATTATATAGTGTATACGTGAGTGTACGTTTATGTGTATGTGTGCGCGCGTGCCTGTGTGCGCGGGTGAATGCAAAGAAGAGCAAGGTAAAAAGAAAGAAAGAAAGAAAACAAAAATAGGGTGTATTTTTTAAATGGGAGGAAGGTAAGGGAATAATAGGACGGCGGGAAATTTGAATTTGGTTTGGAAAAAAAATTGATCTGATCCCATAGACGACGGTGTGAAATAAATAATTAATCGATTACAAAAAAAATTTATATCGAACGAGTTTTAGAAAATCTTCAAACAAACGAGACGATGGTTTTGTATAGAATAACGAAGAGAAATGTTAGTGGAATGAAAGGAAACAAGAACGTTGGGAGACCGTCGTGCGACCGCGTTCCCTTGCGATCGATGAGGAATACTAACACCAATATCAACACCACCAACACCAACAGCACCATCACCAACATCAACGCGTTTAGTAGCGTTGAACCTCGGTGAAGTGCGAATACCTGACAACGTATATACGTACGTTTCTTGTACCTTTGCCACATTGTATAGACATTCACAAGAATAAAAAGAAAATAATTAAAAGAAGAAAAAAAGCACAGACACAAAAAGCGAGAGAAAAGAAGGCAAAAAAAAAGAAAGATGTCAGCGATCAATAGAGGGAGTAATGATCGAGATCGATCTTGTCCAATCGAGAGGCGACTTGGACGATGAGGAAAAATCGACGAACATTCGTTAACATTATTCTCGTAATTATTACTATTAATCCTACTTCCATAATAACTATTATTAATATTATTAAAAGAAGAAAAACGACGAATAGGAGGAAGATAACAAGAGGAAGAACGAGGTGGGAGCTCGAGGGAAGTTTGCGAGCGCCATCTTGACAAAATAGAGAAGAGAGGTGAGGCGCGATGGCGGTACTCGATCGTTGATCGACGAGAGCCGCGGGCGATTCGATCTTCCTTCTCGTTGATCGAACGTCCCCCGTCCTCTCTCTCTCTCTTTCTTTTTTTTTGTTTTTATTTTTTTTGGTTATTTTTCAATCATCACATACCCTCCCCCCACCCACCCACNCCACCCACCCACCCACCTCCCGGAAGAGAAGAAGAGAGTAAATGTGTTTGTATCTTAAACAACAATAATCCTATACTTGAACGCGACAATAAAGAAGAAGACAACCGCGTACAAACATATTTTAACCGGATACGTCGATCTCCCTTTATATATATTTTTTTTGTTTGTGTTCTCTTTCCTACCTTCATTTTATATATATTTTTTATTTTATTCTTTCGAGAGAGAGAGAGAGAGAGCCTCGAGGAGTGGGCACTTTTATTTTTAGCAGTTCGCCGGTTCTCTCTCAAGCATCGTCGCAAAAACCGGTTCCTCTCGGGCACCACTGCTATCCGAGAAAGCACGAGGAACTGCAAGAGAGAGAGAAAGAGAGAGAGAAAGAAAGAGAGATACGAGTCCAGTATACTTCAAGAGTCTAAAGAGAAAGAAAAAGAGAGAGAGAGAGAGAGAGAACGTGGAATTTGCTCGTGTCCCAATACACATAGTCGCCAACATCGTTTTCACGTTGCTCCCTGCGAATATATATATATAAATATATATGCACATGCTTGTGCGACTATCAGTCTTTCTCTCTTTGTAATTTCTATTATCACTTATCAATCGTTTCTCTCTCTCTCTGTGTTGCATACACACATGCGCGCATATATTTCTAATCTCCTACCTTATATCGATCGCTTATAAACATGACGGATTTATAATCTACCATGTTATGTCTATGTAGACGTACAATTAATATTTTGATTATTTAAAATAAGAAATAAATAAAAGAGAGAGAGAAAGAGAGAGAGAAAGAGAGAAAGAAAGAGAGAGATCGGATAAAAGAAAAAAGGATGATATGAAGAATGGCAACCGATTCGAGCAACAACGAAAACAACAATCGTCATCAAGGGGTCAGAGCTGTCGCCACGACGACAACCGATCCAAGACGTAGCGAAAAACGTGCCGTGGCTGCTCGAGGTGCTGCTGGAGCACTTGCTCTCAGTGTATTGGCTGTCGTACTCCAATCAGCTGCCACTGCCACCCCCCATTGGGGATATTTCAACAACCCGGACGGTACGTAATTTTCAAATTTCAATTTATAAACGAAATATAATATAAAGAAAATTGGCAAAACAAACTTTGGGTGTTAAATTTCTTGGAAATTCACAAATCCCACCATGTGAATTCTTCGTCGGCAGTCGTGAATTTGGCATTGCTGATGTATACGTGCGTATTTGGAAAATGGCGTGTGGGATAGAATGAACGATGCCGTTGCATTCGTTCACCGTTAGCGGTTCCAAGTTATACGGTGGCGTTCACTGCAATTTCCCACATCGCGGAACGAACAATTTCGTCTCAACTCAACCCACGCGAAAAATTGTACTTATGCGACCTGCCTCCTCTGAGGTCAAGGTTAACTTCTTTCTCTTTTTCTCTCTTTCTCTCTCTATCTATTTCCTTGTCTATCGTGCCAGTCCGTACAATATCATTTCGTTCATTATGAAAGAGAACACGCAAGAATCGCGATTTCGATAGCTATGTTGACATTGATTAGTCGATAGTTATTCCAATTTATAATCATCCAATATCCTGTCCACACACAACGTTGATTTTAATTTAAATTAGAAATTGAATGCTTGATAAAAAGAAAATGAAAATAGATTTTGTTTTGTCAATAAAATTGTAACTTTAATTCTACTTTTCCTATCAGTTATATATCAAACTATTATTTACACGAATGTGCCCTACCTGCCAGCGTTATTTTTTTTGAATACCCTGGACGTAGAAGAAAGAACATTGAGTTAATGTTCGAATGGTGAATTTTTTAAAGAGCATTTCTCGACCTCAATAGGGTTAATGACCGCAGCACGGCCAAGGACACTGTTCGATAAAACATTTGAGGTATTCTCCGAGCTTTATTATCGATCTCATGCTTGCAGAAACATATAATACATATATGTCTATACGAGTTGTGCATAAAATGGGCAAGCACGCGTGTTTATTAAAATTGTAGTTCATTCATATATCGCAATAGAGAGAAGATTAGAATCAAAACCACAAGTGTCCCCCTATATTCTTGCTTCCCCTTCATGAAAGCTTTGACCTAATTTTGAACACGGCTTCCCGTATATGTCCAGTCAATTAATTCCACTGACTTGTTTTTACAGCTGTTGCGCATATGTACGTACGTGTACTTATATACATGAATGCACATAAGTATCTATGACGTGTAGCCACGTGTTTATGAGCTGATTATTACAACATTTTGTTCATCATTTATTAACCTTTCTTTTATTAATTTTCAAAACAAGATAAAAAGTATAGTGTGCTAAAATATAAAATAAATATAATTAGATATAGATCATTGTTTTTTTCAATGGTCTTTTTCTTTTTTATGTTTAGAATTTTCAATTGCAGCAGGAATCTATAGTTACACGTTTCTAACGTAAGCTCTTGGTCGTTCTTTACTTTCACTCGAGCGTATGCTCTCAGTGAACCTTGATTTTACATATATGTATACATAAGAGATACATGCATACGTTCTCATAGATATACACTATATATACTATTATACAAATTTTCAAAATGAAGTAATCTTTTTCGGTAATGAGTAATCGATTTTTAAACATATATCTATAAATTTGTATAAATGAATAATAAAACAATAAAAATACTTGGCAGAATATTCGAATGTGTTTACAAATGTAAACATTATTCATATATAGAAACTCGTTTAGCGTAATATTTATTATAATACTTTATATGTTTCTATATTTTCCGTTTGGTTATTATGCAACCCATAGATGTTTACCATACGTATATACACATGCATATTTACGTATACATTGAAAGAAAATTGCCTAATCACGTAATTCCAACTTGTTTGCTCTAACTCTACCTGAGCATACAAACTTCTCGTACGTATACACATTTACACGCATCTTCGTGTAAGCGTTCTTTTATAAAAAAAAAAAAACAAAATAGAAAGAGATAGAAGTGATTAATATAATTGATCTTATTAATACTTACAATTCTACGAGTATAATTTTCCCGTGTAATTTTTTTTTCTTTTTAATCCTTGTACGAGCAGAGAAGAGAAAAACAAAGAAAAAGGAAGAGAGAGAGAGAAATGAAAAGGTAAATAAAGGTAAAAAAAGAACACGTATGTACATATGTATGTGTCTGCACGTGTACACTTATATGTATTCAAGGAAATAAGAATAAAGTATTATTCTTATCATTTGTGGTATCATACATTGAACATTTTTAGCGACACGCAGATTGTAATTAACATTTCTACTTTCTCACTCATTCATTCTTTAATTATCTACGTGTGAAACATAACTGTATACATATATATATATATATATTACATATGAATATAAGCTGTATCTACAATATATTCACAACCTTCTCGAACTTTCAAAGATATCAAACGCTAGGGATATTAAAAATTCAATGGAATAAAACTTCTTGAAGGATTCAAAGTATCTTTCTTGAATGTCGTTTGAAACTCTTCGAAAAGTATACATGTATACAATACTTACGCATCGATCGATCGAGAGAGAGAGAGAGAGAGAGAGAGAGATGCATGCTGCTAACGGACTGCTGGAAGTTCTTTTAAACAAAAAGTAAAAAAAAGAAGTATACTACAGGAACGTGTCTCCTCTCCATATAAAGTATCTACTCTGAGAGATTCAAAGTATAGGTACACTATTACTAATACTTTTACGTGATACTTTACATTGTTACGCTTTGTATAACTTTGTTATTTCTTCGTAATACTTTCGCGATTTAATCAAATTTCCATTGACCATATTTTTAAAAGAAAATTAATATTCATTTTTATTTTTATTCTCTTTTTTTTTTTTTTTTAATGGCAACATTATAATCAAATTACTTGAAAATCTTTCATAACGATTACGCTTAATCTCGAGTAATCAAAATGATATTATTTCATTTCAATTGCACAATAAAATTATATTAAGAACAAATATATAATATTTATCTTTATTTTTTGTTGTAACACACACATGAAGAAAATAAAAATTAATTGACAGAAAGGTTCTTGACTTTGTAACACCATATCTTGTTCCGTTACAAGTAGCAGTCCTTCTCTTCACGCTCGTAAACGAGACTTTCGAGTAGAAAGAGATAGAGATTAACCAACAGAGAAAGAGAGAGAGAGAGAGAGACGGATAGAGAGATTGTAAGTTTTAGCGAGTATATAAAGTATAGTTCAACCAAGCCACGTTGCATTCACTAACCAAGAGAGGAAGAGAGAGAGAGAGAGAGAGAGAAAGATAGAAATTTTCTGGCCCTGCGTAACGGTACTTCTACTCCTCTTTCCCCATACCATAAACACACACACATGCATATACATAAACGTATATACACGGGAGTTTTTCGATAATATCAAAAGGTATGCGAATCGTTATCTTTGTATTCAACTTTCAGAATATGTCAGAGATCAAAGTTCATTCTTGCAGACCAAACTTCTATATAAAAGATACTCTTTCCAATTTGTAATTTGTACGAGATATGAAATTTATCCTAATTTCTGAATACCTGTCAACGATTACCTATTATCATCAAATAAACGATATTAAAATATATACACAATTAATTTTGTCTATATTAAAAAGAAGTTTAAATTTTTGTAATCATGACTGATACTATGTTCACCACTCAATAGACAAAATAAGAATGAAACTTAAAAACAACTTTTATCTATTGCGACATACAATAATAATAGCGGAAGTGAGTTTCGTGTTACCAGTTATACGTCAAACATGTATATACATGGTAAATACATTCGCATACTCGCTGTACACGCATGTGTACACGCAAGCAGGTATACACATACAATATATCTATTCGAGATTATGGTCTTAACAGCAGGTGACTAGGAAAGTAATATATAAGATTACATACGTTTGGTATATATATATATATATATATGTGTGTGTGTGTGTGTACATATGTACTTACATATATATTTAGCTAAACGCAGTTCATAGTGATTCCCTTCGCATGCATGCCTTCCGTACCAATTACAGATTGTTGTTGTTTCCTTCTGTAATAACCCTTGGGATTTAATAGAAATGACGAGAGGTTAGCGGAACTACGTTAGACGACGTCCCACGAGCATCATGGGCTAAATAAGGGTTGGATTTCGTGAGAAAATTCATCTATCAACGATATATTAAATAAAATCCAATCAGATATAATTTAATCATTCATTGGTCAATGTCTTTTATGAAGTTTTTGTCATTTGTAAAATATTTTTCTTAAAAAAAAAAAATAAAGAAAACACGAATACATATTAATAGAAGAGAAAAAGAGAGACATGATGATTTGAAAATTAAGAAGAAAAAAAAAATTGACACAGAAAAAATGAGGAGTAAGAATAATTCCAAGTGAAAATGAATGGGGTAATTTCAAGGTAATTTCAAGGAGAAAAGATACTTATTACTTTGAAATGTAGATCTCGATTGATATTAAATTCTGATGAAGTAATCGGTACGTATTATATAATTTGTACTCTTAACGATCATTATGATATCATTTAAATAATATGTTAAGGAAAGAGGAAACTTAGATTGCTTTTGTGTGTGGGCTCGCACAGTTTAATACATTTTTTTTTATTAAGAAATTATTCATAAAGTTTTTTCATTCCAATTGTAAATGAAAATTGTACGAAAGAGATGAAATATTTGTTGGATATTGAAATGATTTTCAAACGAGATATTTGTTATCTCACGAATCACAGACTTGGCTGGTATTTCTTGAAAACAAAAAAAAAAAAAAAAAAAAAAAAAAAAAGACAAGATAATGTGTACGCATATAGGATTCGTGAAAAACAAAATTTACGACGTTCTTTATCACGCTTTCCCTTGTGGTCTTTAAAACTTTTACGAGCCTTAACTCAAATTACCACGAGCCCGTGTCTTTCTAAGTGAATGTTCATTTGCACTAT